TCCCACACACTCACTCACTCACACACACACACACACACACACACACACACACACACACACACCTGGACTTTCAGGCCGAGTTTCTTGCTGCGCTCGATCCCTTCCGGAGTCCAGGGTGCCGGCTCCACATCGTCCCGCCGCAGCAGGTATCTCCACACCAGGAAGCCACACTTCCCGATCTCCGGCCAGTACTTCACCACCTGACAACAGCGGCACATGTTACCACGGCAACCACTCACTCTCCACTAACATCACGTCTCCATGGTGACGAATAATGCAACAAAGTTTTTGAAAAGAGAACTTGATTTGACTTCATGAGCTCAAGGGTCCAGATCACCATGGCAACCGAAGCTTAACGAACACAATGAACGAGGAAAAACTGCCACTAAAAGACTGATATCTTGTCACTTTTTAACACTGATGTGTCACAGCAGAAGAAAGACATCGGACACTTACTGACCAACTTCAGTAGTTAATCTGTCTCAATCAATAATGATAATCTGAAGCGTTCTAACATGTTAATGAAGCGCATTCCTGTAAGAAGGAATGGTAGTGCTGCGCCAACACCAACATTAAGCACCTGCTAAAAGCATAAATGTAAATGTAAATGAGAGCTCTGCTCATGAATATTAATTACTTGGCATTAACTCATTGGTAGTGTTGATCCTGTTAACTAAAGATAAAAGCAAATCTATTAAAATTGTTTTCAGTAAAAGAAATAAAGCTGAAATAACAACAATAAAAAACAAATATTAGGTGAAAAACTAAAAAAAAAACTAAAAAAAACAAATATCAGGTGAAAAACTTAAAACTAAAATAAATAAATAAATAAAATTAAAAAGATTAGGTTAAAAACTAAAACGTACAGAAACACAAATACTAGGTGAAAAACTAAATCTCAAAGAATTATAAAATGAAAAACTTAAAACTTAAAAATCATAAATATTATGTGAAAATTTTCAAATTAAAATATTCAAAAAGTGTGTGTGTGTGTGTGTGTAAATGTGTATGTGTGTGAGTGTGTGTGTGAGAGTGTGTGTGTGAGTGAGTGTGTGTGTGTGTG